TCCCCTTCTCCCTTCCCTCCCTGCCTCCTGAATGTTCCTTCCTCAAAGCCACCAGCCCTCCCTTCAGGTCTCTCAGCTTCTTTCCCTTTCTTTTGCCCTTCTGCATTTCTACTCCCTCTCTTTCTCTTCTCTGTGACCCCAGGCTTTGCCTCCTGGCGAAATGGCTAAACCAGGAGTGAGGGTCCCACTCACATCTACTTTTTACTTAAAATTTAATGACTTGACCTTTTGAAGCAACATGTTTAGTGAAAGCATCTGAAAAAAAAAAACATAAAAGGAAAATAGACACCACCTGTAATTGATCTAATTAGAGGAAAACACTATCAAAATCATGATATATTTCTTTGACACCTTTGTCGTGTGTGTGTGTGTGTGTGTATGTGTGAAGTGTGGTTACAAATATGGAGGTCTTTGGGTAGTTTTATAGCCCCTCTTTTTGCATGTGATATTGTATCATAGACATTCTGTCACATTAGTAAGAGTTTTAAAAAATAAATTGTTGATGGCTGAATAGTTTTCTAGTGTACAGATATGCTATCATTGACCTGTTTATATGGCTTCTAGTTGTTGTTTTTTCCCCCCAGAGATTGCTAGTTGCCTACCCAACACCCATCTTTAGTAACAGAACACTGATTTTATTTTGGGTGGCAATGTGCTTATCTAAAAGACTACATTTCCCAACCCCCATTGCAATCAGAGGTGGCCAGTGAGATATAGATAAAAGCTGTTTGTTTGTTCTCTGGGAATGCACATAGAGTCTGTCCTTTTTCCCAACAAGGAATGCAGATGATATGGCTGGCACACCAGCAGCCATCTTGGATCATAAGATGACCTTGAAGAAAGAAACTACACACTGAGAACAGAGGAATCCAAGGATAGAAAGCAAGTGGGTCCCAGAGAACAATGTGTGGTTGCCACAGCAACCCTGGACCATCTAGCTTGGGATTTCTTTTATGTGCAGGAGAAATAAACTTCCATATTGCTTGCTTTCATCTCCTATTAGTAGCTGAGTATAATTCCTACAACAGATTCATCCATTCAATAGTCAAATGCAACAAATATTTACTGAATGTCTACTCTGTAGTAGTTCCCACTTATATACCAGTGAACAAAACATAGAAGATTTCCTGTCATGTATGGAGCTGACATTCTGCTGGGGAAAGACAGATGATAAAAAGGTAGACAAGTGAAATATTTTGGTGGGTTAAGTGCTAAGGAGAAACAATAAAGGAGGGTAAACGGATGTGTTATGTTTTGGGGGCTTGGGGTGATGTTGAAATTCTGGGTAACTCAGAGAAAGCCTCGCTAAGATAATTATTCTCTAACCTATGAGTTCAAAATGGCATCTTGATAGCACTTTTCACATTTTTTAATGCTTAGAAATTAGTGGCTAGTGGGGTTGCAGAAGAGTTGGCGACTAGACTCTTCATGAGGATTGTCTCTGACATTATTATTAGTTGCGCTTCTTTCTGTTGCAGGTGCAAGAAACTCAACTCAAATAGGCTTAAGGAAACTGGGGAACAGTGTGACTCACAAAATTAAAATATCCAAGGGGTGGTCCCAGCATGGCTGAAGCCAGGTGCTCAGAAACGTTGCCAGAAATCTGTCCTCCCCATGTCCTTGTCTTGCTTCCCTATGTGTTGGCGCCATTCTCAGCTCCCCGGGACGCCCACCTCGGGAGGGAAGCTGGCCTCCTGCTGCTGCAGACCAAGGACCCGTAGCCTGGGATGGGCGTGGGAAGGGGTCTCTTTCCCAGTCATTGCCGCAAATATCCCAGGGCTCACTCTCATTGGCTGGGGTTGAGTCACATGCCCAATCCCGAACCAATGCCAGGGCCCCACCGGAGTCAGACAGGCTGATGGGTGGGGCCTGCGTCCTAGGCTCCCTCGCGCAGCTGGTGCAGTGGGCCCGCCCCCCGGGGCTTAGAGCTGGGGGCCCTGTGTAGAGGAACCCCGCAGCTCCCACCAGCAGGGGCGCACCGTGCCGGGCAGGCTCTTCTGCAGCTGCTCAGCCCCGGGGAGCAGTCAGATCCGTTTCTTCTTCAGCTTTCCTTTTGCCCGGTGATTGTTTTCTCCCACTTTACAAATGAACAACCAAATGCCTAAAGACCATAAATTATAAACGAGCCGTTCAAATGAGGCGAGTGATGGCAATGAGTAAAATCTAATTAAGCAGTTTGAGATCTAAGCGATATTGTTATTAAAGTGCCGCGTTAACAGGGCGTCTGATCAGCTTCTAATCTGCTATGTGAGTTAGTTGGAGGTGAGCTCCGTTCTGATTGACATCGAGATCAATCCATTCTGTAGCGAGAGATAAAGTGCAGCCGCACGGAAGGGACGGAATTCTTGATGAGGGTTTGTCCTTGTAAGCAGCCGGCCCCGGCCCCGCGTGTCTCCTCCGCTCCTTCCACGGCGCCGCTCACAGTCCCGGCTGGAGGATTTGGGGTACCACCTTTAAAAAGCACGATTGCCGGCTTTTTAAGATCTCCTGGGATTTCCAGAGCTTGGCCCTGACGTTCACTTTTTCGTAAACTCAAAGTGATTTAGCAAGCGTATCCTGCGTGCCAGGCACTGGCATTTGAAGAAGAGAGATGGGCATGGTCTCTGCTCTTGCGGAGCTCACAGTCTGCGCCCATTCTGGTGGTAACGATCTGTCTTCAGGGAAGAAAGAGGAGGCATTTGAGCCATTTATTCCTTCAGCCCCCAGGTCTCTCTAGAGAGGTTCTTGGTAAGGAGGCACCAGGACCCTCCAGGCTGGGGGTTGTGGGGGTGGGGGCACCAGCAGGTGGCTGTAAAGTGTGAGCCAGGGTTGGGGGGGAAGCTCCAGTCTTGGTGGGGAGGACCCCTTTGTCTGCTTTTGCTTCTCTGGGTTGGGGTGGTTGAATTTGCTTAATTAAATTTTAGCTTGGGTTAGGCGAGTTACCCCCTTTCCTAGCCACAGGGGCTGTGCACCCAGGGGCTGAGCATGCAGGGGCTGAGCAGGATACTCAAAGCCACTGGGGCAGGAGGTGATGGACTGGGTCAGACCCAGGTCTGTCTCAGTCCAGAGTCCAGGCTTTGGCCTGCGCCTGGGCTGGCTCTCTACCAGGCTGTCCTGAGGAAGGATGAGAGAATGAGGTCACACTGGCCTGACTTAGCCCTGGTCCCTCAGGTGGGAGTTGGACATCCCCTCCAAAGCCTGTGGGGTACTGTGGCCTTCCCAGAGCTCTCCACGGGACCCTGGGTAAGCCCCAGCCATGCAGAGTGTGGTGAAGGAGATCGGGGGCTTCTCTTTCCTCCCAGGACAGACTCAGGAGGGAGGAGGTAGTAGTTCCTGGAAACGCTGGGAAATTTCTCCATATTTCTCCAGGCTCCATCTCACTGTCTTCTCACTCCACCCTAACCGTTTCCCACTCCTTTGGCTTAGGGAGGCTCTTTCCTTCCCAGGAGGCAAAGACATCTCCTCCCTCTTGATCTCTTACCAAAGAGCTTCATTTGGTAACAAAATTTGGTACTTCTTGGCAGGTCCACCCAGTCTTCCACCTCTGTCTGTGCTCTCAGGATCATTCCGGTGGGAAATGATCTCTGGAAGTTGCTTACCTCTCAACACATGTTCCATGGTAGAAAGAGCCAAGGCTCTTGATTCTGTGTGGCACGTGTACGCTGTGTGACCTTGGGCAAGTCACTTACCCTCTCTGGCACTCTGTCTCCCTGTCTGTAAGAGAGAGACCCTAGCACCCATCTCACAGAGTGCTCTTAGGTATTAAACAAGCCGGTGGATGACAGCTCATACTGCACAACTAATGTTAGTTCCTTTCTTTTAGGGGAAATGAAGATTTTTCACAGGGGCTCACCCGTGCATTAACCTCTAAGAGCCCTCAGGGGCATTGACTACATACAACTTTGTCTACCTGTACCTGCTGATTAGAAGAGAGATTCACCCCCATTTCTCTATAGGGCTGTTTGTGCTGTGGCTCTCTCCTCTGCTAGAGAAGGAACCCACTTCCCTCTTTGAACAGATCCACGCCAGAGCCAGTGCAGAGATTGTCTCTCTGGGATAACTTTTGGGGTGTGTTCATTCACTACAGTCTTTGAAACATCTCGTCCCTTCAGGACAGACCAGTTAGAGACTGAAGAGCAGAGAGACCTCTACGGAGCTGCTGTACCAAGTGTGGTCCCTGGACCAGCAGCACCCGGGAGCCGGTTAGAAATAGAGTCTCGGGCCCTGCCCCGCCCCCTGCATCAGCACCTGCGTTGCACGGGACGCCCGGGGCGTTCTGGGCACATCATGGGGTGAGTGGCATGGCACTGACATCAGTCCTCTCTCCCTCAGCAGGTGAGCCAGCCGGTAAGGTTGGGGCTGACCTCCTCTGATGGGCGTGGGGGCACCTGAGGTTCATCCAGGGCGCAGTCTCTGGCCAAGGGGGCAGGGAGCGAGAAGGGGGAACAGGAGGTTCTCTGGGAGCCCAGCGAGGGTCTGCAGGTGCCTGGGGCTGGGCGTGGGGGCACCTGAGGTTCATCCCGGGTGCAGTCTCTGGCCAAGGGGGCAGGGAGCGAGAAGGGGGAACAGGAGGTTCTCTGGGAGCCCAGCGAGGGTCTGCAGGTGCCTGGGGCTGGGCGTGGGGGCACCTGAGGTTCATCCCGGGTGCAGTCTCTGGCCAAGGGGGCAGGGAGCGAGAAGGGGGAACAGGAGGTTCTCTGGGAGCCCAGCGAGGGTCTGCAGGTGCCTGGGGCTGGGCGTGGGGGCACCTGAGGTTCATCCCGGGTGCAGTCTCTGGCCAAGGGGGCAGGGAGCGAGAAGGGGGAACAGGAGGTTCTCTGGGAGCCCAGCGAGGGTCTGCAGGTGCCTGGGGCTGGGCGTGGGGGCACCTGAGGTTCATCCAGGGCGCAGTCTCTGGCCAAGGGGGCAGGGAGCGAGAAGGGGGAAGGGTCTGCAGGTGCCTGGGCCTGAGCGAGCTGAGGGTGCCGGCCGAGGGCTGGCGGGGGAGGCTGGGGCAGTCTGTGTGTGGCTGCAGGGCTGACCAGCCCCCACTCAGAAACCACTGCTGGCTTGTTGCCCCCGGCCGCACTCAGCCCTCTGATGGAAAAGCGTGCGGGCGGGCCCTGGGGAACATTCTGAAGTGCCCATAGGAGTGACAGAACAGATGACCACAAACTGGGTGGCTTGAAACAACAGAACTTTATTTATTCTCTCACAATTCTGGAGCCCAGAAGTCCAAAATCAAGGTGTTGGTCGTGCTGCGGGAGAATCCGTTCCTTGCCCCTTCCAGCTTCTGGTGGCTCCTGGTGTCCCTGACTTGTGGCCACATCACTCCAGTCTCTGCCCATGTCATCACATGGCCTCCTCTGTGTGTCTATGGGTGCCTCTTTCCTCTTCTTATAGGACCTCAGTCTGTGGATTTAGGTCCCATTCTGATCCAATAGGAACCATCTGCAGGGACCGTACTTCTGTCAGCTCCGCGCATCGACCTGGTATTGCAGGACTGTACTTCTAAATAAAGTCACCTTCTTAGGTTCGGGGTAGACATGAATTTTGAGGAGACACCATTCAAGCCACTGCAATACCCGATAGGACTTTGTGGAAGAGTTGGCATCTTCTCTCTCTCTCTGCTTTCTTTCTTCATTTGCTATTAAGAGTAGAAAAAGAAAGTTGATTGGGATCTTGAATGGATTTGAAATCTCCCTTCTCCCACAGAAGCCTCAGCCCCATTTGAATGTCGGCTGCGAGATTGTATTCAATGACTGTGGACAAAGGAGAGCTGGAGGACCAGCCTCATTAAATATTTATATTTAGTAATAATTTGGTTTGCAAAACTGCCTGGGCATGGCCAGAAGGCAGGGCTGCCCTTCCTCCAATAGTGTTGATGCAAAGAACCCAGTTAATTATCTCTTGCCAAATATAATAAACCTCTCAAAAGTCATTCTCTGAGCAATGCCTTGAGGGTCCTGTGACCCGTGGGTACATTTCCCGGGTCTCCGGGCCTGCCGTGGTGGGAATTTGAGCCCAGCAGGTGGGGAGGCGGGGGTCATGTCTACACTCATCTCCTGGTGGTGTTTCTTCACCTCTCCCAGTCTCAGTCACTTCTCTAAAATGGGAATGAATTTAGTCAGATATGGATTGCCTGGTACCATGTGCTGGACACTGAAGTTTAACGGCAAGCTAGGCAGACGTGATCTCTGTCCTCACAAAGCTCTCTTTTCAATAAGAGACACAACAACAGCAAACAAACAAGTCTATGCAGCCTGATGCCAGGTGGGGAGAGGTGCCATAAAGGAAGGTAAGACGAGGTAAGTGTGTGGAGAGTCTGGAGGTCATGCCGTTGTTTTACCTGAGCAATCAGGGAAGGCTGCTCAGAGGAGGTAGTATTTGAGCAAGGACAGAAGGAAGCGAGGGAGAGAGATGGGACTATTTGGGAGGGGAGGAGAGCAATCTGCACAAAGGGCATCGCAGGGGCAAGGTCCCTGAAGAGGATCCTTGCTGGGGGAAGCAGAGTGGCTGATGGGAAGGGGGGTGAGCCACGAGACCACCTGGGCTCGGGGCAGATCATGGGGGCTCTTAGGCTCCCGAGAGGAAGGATTCTGCATGTTGTTCTGTATGGGTTGAGAAGCCTCTGAAAATTTGTTCCCATTTTAAAAGCATCAGCTGGCTGTGGTCAGGAGAATGGACAGTGGAGTGGGAGGGGAGAAGCAGGAGACCAGGTGAGGAGATGGGGCCTGGTGGGGGGGGGGGTTGTATGGGAGGTGGGGGGGACGGGGGCTGATTCCCCAAAGGTCTCGTGGTCCGGCACAGCCAGCAGCCTTCAGTTCAGTCCACTCTTTGAGTAGAACGGTCCCCACAAAAGAGTCGGTCACTAGGGCCTTCCTGGGCAGAGCAGGTGTGGGACCACTCAGCCCTCGGGTCCCAGTGACACATCTCTATTTGTGATATTTTTGTTTATTTATGTAATGTTTATGCCCCTGCCTAGTTCCAAAAGGAGTGTGAGGCCTTACAAGAAAAGGCAAAGAAATAGTGACAACCTGAACAGCAAGCAGTGGCCAGAAGCACCTCATTGACCCGTCAATCGGACTGCCGCCCTCCTTCCCTCCCCTCCCCCAAACCCGGCAGAGACGAAGGCGGAGTGAGAGGCAGGCTGACTCTGACCCGAACTTCAAACCCCTTCTCGATGTCAGGGCCGGTGGGGGGACTTTGATTTCCTTCAAGGGGAGTCAGGGGGTCCGTGCTTGAAAGGATCCCTGTGTACTCAGGAGGGCTGGGAAGTGGCTTTGAATAAGCCAGGCAGAGCGAGCTGTGCCCGGGAGAGGGAAACCAAGTCTCATGAGCCTTGCTGAAGCCACCGACCATAAGAATTCTCCAGAACCTTTCTGCAAAGCTCACCAGACACACAGTGTGTGTGTACGGGGGGAGGGGGAGTCCAAGGTTTGGTGCTGAGGTCACGGCGGTAAAGCAGGAGTGTGACACAATTTGGTCACTGCTGTGACAGGTGGCAGTGACATCAGGGAGGACCTCAGAAACCTCGCTGAGTTCAGAGTCAGCAGTGCCCCGGAGTGCTGAAGCCTGCCTGCCCAGCACCATGCCCTCTCTTTTCTGTGTGAGCACCCCGACTCCTTTGGGGACCTGTTCTTCCCTGGCATGGGCTCTGGGATGGATCAGCACGCAGAGCATCAGGGGACAGGGAGGCCAGCTTTGTGACCTTCCAGGAGAAGAAGTGACTGCAGGGCAGGGGTGGGGGAAGGGGGGTGGGAAGGAGGATTCAGGGAGGGGCAGAGCATCCGTGCTGGGGACGGTAGACAGCCACTCCTGTGAAGTCATTTAAACTCTTAACCTCTTCACTATTGCAAACCCATGAGTCCAGGGCAGCTGCTGGGCCGTAGTATTATTTTTCTCCTTCGAAGGTCAGTGACTTGTTGCGGCTGATTATGTCCCTGAACCGAACAGGCAGACCCTGTTCGCCGACTTCCCTGTATCCCCGCTCTGGGAGACACGAGATCACAGCGAGCCCCGTCCATCACTGGCTAGCAACTGGCACTTGGAAATGAAAGAGACTCGTTCCATATTCCCAATCAATGTCTGTCTGCCATCTCTGTCGATAACTGCCGGGCGGTCCAATCTTTCCCCTGACAGAAAGGCACCCGGGGGGCCAGCCTGAAGATGCGCTGGAGGGAAAAGGGGGCCGTTTGATTCAGAGCCTCCTCGCCGGGCTGGAATTAAGTTGGCTTCTCCTCTAATGAAACTGACTCCAAGGGTCTCCGTGTGCCAGAGGCTCTCGGGAGAAGCAATGATGGTTCTGGGGCTGAAGCCGTGCACACAGGCAGCCTCGCGCTCCTACCCGCTCTGATGAGGCTCGCAAGGGGCTTGGAGCCTCGGAGGAGGTGGCCACCACCTGGCGCGCCGTGCAATGCATAGTAGGCACATAGTGAATGCAGAGGGCCTGGCTCCTGGTCGCTGCCTTTCCCAGTCTTTTGATGGAGAGACCAAGGCATTAAAAGGCCGAGAAGCTCTCTCGTGGTTTGAGTCCCTTACCACGGTTCTTGTGTGTGCAAGAGGCAGAGGCCAAACCACAAAGGAGAGGGTACTAGGTGGGTTAGGGGCTCCGCCTTTAGGCAAAGCTCTATACTGGCGTCTTGAGTCCCAATTCCAAATAACCAGAGGAAAGAAAGATTCCGATCGGCCCAGCCAGGGATAGGCATCCATTCCTGTCCAGTCAGCTGTTACCAAGAGGCTCGGGGCCTCATAAGGTAAAACTGGCACCACGCGTGGCTGGGGAGGGGAGGGGTCAGGTATCTCCTGGGCCACTCTACTTCAATAGCTGCAAAATAAACCCCAGATTTGGGAGTTGCTTTCCTTGCAGCTGGGTGAGAATTTCATTCAGATTTGTGGATCAGTGAGGGTGAGAATGAGCAGACATGGTCATCAGAAATTGGGTTGAAAACCCCAACCAGAAGAATGCAGGGGGCTTCTTTTCTTGGAGAAGCGTGAGGGGCAGGGGAGCCTCCTGGAGCTCGGGGCAGCCACAGGTGGGAGGGTCACGCTCAGTGGCCCTACTCTCTACCCTGGACATGGCCTGCTGGAGCTCTCAGTGGACCCTATGTCCCCAGTGTCCACTCCTAAACCTGTCTGTACGCTCATGCTTCGGTGAATATTCACACCTTCACTGGGGACACAGCCCTTACCCCACATGGTGTCCACCCATTGGAATCTTGCCCCAGTTTCCTAAAGTGCCATCATTTACTGGAAGCCTCCTGTGATCCTCCATCAAAATGACTCATCTTCCTCTGGTGAGCACTTGTCAATGCCTTGGGCTTCTTTTCCTAAAAGTTACTTACAGCTTGTCTACTCTCTCCCTGCAAGTCCCAGGAGCCTCCAACACGACCAGGCTGTGTGGAAAGGAGGAGATAAGATTTAAATTGAATATAAGATTGGGTTTTTTAAAGTATTTTATTTATTTATTTGAGAGAGAGAGTGAGCACGAGAGGGGGAAGGGCAAGCAGACTCCCCGCTGAGCAGGGAGCTCAATGTGGGGCTCCATCCAAGGACCCCAAGATCATGACCTGAGCCAAAGGCAGAAGCTTAACCAGGCACCCCAAGATTGGATTTTTAAACTGGACTGACTTAATTGTGACTTGAAAGTGATGAAATCTGCCGAACATGTCTTTAAAGGATGGTATATTCTGGTTTGGTTGTAAGACCCACAAATAACATTGGACAAGACAAGATAGAAGTTGATTTTTCCTTCTTGTAAAAGATTTCTGGAGGTGGGAATCCAGGCCTGATGTGGTGGCTCTGTAGCATGAGGCTACCAGGGACCAGGCTTTCTACCCCACCATACTTAGAATGTGACCCTTGTCTACGTGGCCCAATATGGCTGCTAGAGCTCTAGCCAACACAACAACATTCTAAGCAGTAGGATGGAGGAAGGGGAGACTTCCTTTTGAGAATTACTCCCAGACATACACCACTACACTTCCTCTTCTGTCCCCTTGGCCAGAAGTTAGTCACATAACCAAACTTAGCTGTGTCACTGAGCGATGGTGTTCTGTTGCTAAAGTAGAAGTAAAGACTGGTATTAGGGAAAAACCAGTGGTTTCCACTTCAGATAAGAAAAGGAGGCTGGCAAGAGTTCTGTGGAAAGCAGTGATTGGAACAATTCGCCTCTGACACCATCTCCGCCCATTGAGACTGGGAAAGAGGGATTTAATTTGCACTGGGAGGTTATGAGCAGGGTTACCAGATAAAATACAGATGCCTGCTTAACAAATAATTCTTTAGTATTTGTATGTCCCAAATAATACATGGGCTATACTTACACTAAAAATTATTTGTTGTTTATCTGAAATTCAGTTTAACTGCGTGTCCTGTATTTTCATCTGCTCAATCTGGCAACTTAGTTATGAGGGGAGGTGGGAAACCCTCTGGAGGTGAGAAGATGCTGGGGTGGCGCCATCTACAGAGCTTGCCGTGGTGTTGGGAAATCACCCTCCCTCTCTCCCTCTCTTGAGGATGTTGGTCTTCTCCCTGGTGCCCCTGCAATGGGTGGTCTGTCAAGAGTCCTCAGAACTCCTCCACTAGCCAGAAAATTCGGAGGCAGTGCAAATTTATCAAGCCCTGCTGATAAATTACATATGTAAGTCCGATTACTTGGGATTTATGTACTATTCCCTTCCACAAATGATTTGCAGAAATTTCACAGACTCTGCTGATGAATTACATCTATAGTTAACATTTTCTTAAGATTTATGCTCCTCCTAGTTTCTTAAAGGATTTGAAGGTATTTTATAAAGTTCATCCCAAGGAAAAATCACAGGTCAATTACAAATTAAAAAAAAACAAAAACAAACCCAGAGCAAAAGCTACTTGGAAGAAGCAGAGCAATGGATTTCAGGTCCATGTGGAGTGAGCTCTGTGCTGACGAAATGTGATTTGTCACCGGGGTGGAGACGAACATTACCATGGTGCGCATAGATCTCGATTCAGTGCGTGGAATTCAGTTTCTACCGAAGATAAATCATGGCGTTGTGTTGTACTTTAAACAGTGATCCTGCAGGTTAAAAATCCCTGTGGGTTTTCACTGTATCCCGGGTCTCCTTATGGGAGGTGGTCCCAGGAGGACAAGCCTGAGGACGTCCTGCTTGCTCACACTTGGTGGGTCAGGACAATCACCTGGGAGGCTTCCAAACCTCAGAAAGCTCAGGGCACACCCCAGGCCACTACCTACTTTGCAGATAGTAGGTGCCCAGGTGCCAGGATGATGAAGGCTCCCCAGGGGATATCCACCTGGGAACCACAGGAGTAAAGGGTTCTCTTTCATTTTCTGGGTGGGGAAGCAGAGGCTCAGCAAGGGAGTCACTCAATCTGGTGGCACTATTATAGCTGAGACCTTTGATTCTCTGACCCCGGTTCACTGCTCACTCCGCACACACAGTATTTTGTCAACGCACAGCTCTCCAAGTGCGGGTGAAAACCCGATCTGCTGACTGATCTCAGTTTGGGGCAGAGACCGTGCTGGCGGAGACGTGCGCCGCCCCTCTCGCGTGCTGGCCGTGGTGCTATCGTGAGCGCTGTACTACTTCATACTGATCGTCCGTGTAAGCCTCCCAGCAGCTCTGCCGAGGAGGGGCCTAACCAATGAGAAGACCGAGGCCCGCAGAGGGGGACTGGCCCCAAGCCACAGATCTGGTGAGCGATGGAGCCAGGACTGGAATCCCCCCAGCCTGACTCCAGACCCTGTGCATTAACCATCTCACCCCATAAAGCACCTCCCATCCTTAAAACTGGCTCTTCCCAAATGCAGTGAACACACGAGTCACCCATACCTGCTCACACGGGTCAGCGGGTCTGGGGTGGAGCCAGGACTCCGCGTTTCTGACAAGTTCCTGGCGCTGCGGCTGCTGCTGATCCGGGGACCACACTTGGAGTTGCAAGGATGTAAAGCATCACCATCGTCATCACTGTTTTCGGTGGTTGTTTTTGGCTTGTTTTGCCTTTAAAAAACACTTTTACAGGGGTGCTTGGGTGGCTCAGTTGGCTAAGCATCTGCTTTTGGCTCAGGTCATGATCCCAGGGTCCAGGGACTGAGCCCTGCATAGGGCTCCCTGCTTAGCAGGAAATCTGCTTCTCCCTCTGCCGCTCCCCCCACCCCCCATGCTCTCTTTCGCATGCTCTCTCTCTCTCTCTCTCTCTCTCTCAAATGAATAAATAAAATCTTAAAAAAAAAAAACAGAAAACACTTCTACAAAATGAGTGAATGCTGAGCGCAAGTGTGGATTTTGTCACATGTCCCCACCTGGATTCAACAAGGGTCACTATGACTTCGTAAGGGTGAAATTAATCAATAGCAATGTAACAGTACTTCATTTGGATTTAGATTTCTCCTGACCTTCGTTATGTAGTCCATTTGACAGCCAGGTAAACCCAGGAGATGTTCTCAGCTCGGTTTATAAATGTTAGAGTAGATGCCATATTAATGAGAAAAGTCAGCCCCTTGCTCTGACAAATTGGAATAATGTCTTAGTTTGGGTTCCTCTTAGAGCAGACTGAGACAAGCTTTGGGTACAAGCAGTTGATTTGGGAGGTGGGGAAGGGAAGGGAGGCAGGGAAGGAGGAAAGCCAATCCATGGGGGAATAATGCGGGGGGTAACTGGGCGCAGCCCTCCTGGGGTCCCTCCAAGGTACTATGTGGACCACTCCCTGGAATAGTCACACCAAGGAGCAAGGACGTTATGGTGCTTGGGCAAAGCTCACCTGGGCAGAGAGGTGCAGGTGCTCGTGGTCAGATGCTGCAGGGTCAGCTGTCCATTGTAGCTGGCCGTGATGGGCCAAGCCTCAGCCACTGACATCTGCCATCACTTGATTGAGGAAGCAGGGACATCATGCTCGGCTTGTGTTATTAGACATTTCCAAGGGGAAGCTGGGCCTGTTTCTAGAAATGAAAAACCAGCAGAGACTCTTGGTCAGCTTGAGAAAGAAGGGGACCATTTCCCAGACGATGCCACTGAGGCAAGGCTGAGAGACTGGATGTGCATGAGTTTGGGGACATCAATCTGATACTTGCCCCAAAGAGTAAGCATTTCATCAACCATAACCTCTTTGTGATCATTCAACAGCAGGACAGGGAGAGGCACGGGGACTGATCTAGGGTACAAAATTTAAGGAGGCACTCACTTCTAGGGTCATCCAAGTGGGCCCTTAAATTACCTTGGCATCTTTGTGGAAAATCAATGGGCTCTATAAGTAAGGATCTATTTCTTGCATCTAGTCTGTCCTATTGGCTTGTTTGTCGAACTCTCTGTCAATACTGCACTGTCTTGAATACTGTAGCTTTATAGTAAATCTTGAAATTGGGCATCATGAGTTTAAAGTTTTCTTTAACGTCCTGCTGAAATTCCCAACAAGCTTTTTGTAGAAATGGACAAGCTACTTCTAAAATTCATATGGTAGTGCAAAGGCGCTAGAATAGACACCCTTCCATCTGTATCTCCTGCCTGACAACCTGCCTTGAGCTTTAATTGCAATGCAGGGCCGTTGGCAACCAGTCCTTCCGCATTTGTATGTCTGAAAATTCTCGATTTCATTTTTATTTTTGAAAGGTATTTTTTTCTGGGCATAGAAGGATAGGTTTAGTTTTCTTGTTTTCTTTAGTACTTTATTTTTTTTTTTTTTAAGATTTTATTTATTTAAGAGAGAGAAAGTGAGCATGAGCTGGGGGAGGGGCAGAGGGAGAAGCAGACTCCCCGCTGAGCAGGGAGCCCGATGCGGGGCTCAACCCCAGGACCCTGGGATCATGACCTGAGCCGAAGGCAGATGCTTAACCAACTGAGCCACCCAGGTGCCCCTTCTTTAGTTTAAGATGTTACTCTGTTGTTTTCTGGCTTGCATTACTCCCGCCCCCCATTCTGAGACACCTATTGTCAACCTTCTGTTTGTTGCTCTTTATGTAAGGTGCTTAAGCTGCTTTAAAGACATTTTTATCACCTGTTTTGTGCTACTTGATCATGATGTACCTTTTTAACATATATCTCGGGCTTGGTGTTCATTGAGCTTCCTGGTTCTGTGGGTTTATAGTTTTCATCAAATTTGGGGAAAAAATCCCAGCCATGAATTCTTCTAATCTTTTTTCTATTCTCCTCTTTCTCAGGTACTGCAAGTGTACATATATTGGGATGCCTGAAGTGGTCCCTGAGCTAACTGGGGCTCTGCTCATTTTTCCCCCATTCACTTATCTCTGTGTGGATTATTTTGGGTAGTTCCTTTTGTTACGACTTCAAGTTCACTAATATTTGGTCCGGCCGTGTCTAAGCTGCCATTAATCCTACTCAGTACATCTAATAGTTTTTGTCCCTCTGCTGTATATCATTGAGAGTCTGGATATTGTGTCTTTTTTTTTCAAAGAACATTAGGTTTTATTATAGCAGGAAATTAATTTCCTGGAAGATCACCTTCAGTCTACTGTGACTTGGTTTTTTTTTTTTTTTAAGATTTTATTTATTTATTTATTTGAGACAGAGAGAATGAGAGAGACAGAGAGCACACGAGAGGGGGGAGGGTCAGAGGGAGAAGCAGGCTCCCTGCCGAGCAGGGAGCCCGATGCAGGACTCGATCCCGGGACTCCAGGATCATGACCTGAGCCGAAGGCAGTCGCTTAACCAACTGAGCCACCCAGGCGCCCCTACTGTGACTTGGTTTTGGACTTTCTTGGGGTGAGTGTGCAGTAACCCCATAGTCTATTTGCAAGAGTGGATTTTGTGGGCTGTCCCCTGATAAGGGCACACAGTGCCTCTCCATATGGGTTGGTCTGAACTCCAATGTCTCTTAGTTCTGCACAAAGTTAGACTCTCTATTCACGCCCTCTCCTCTGGCTCCCCGCTAGTCTCCACCAGACCTCACAGAAACTCGCTCTGTACATATGCAGCTTGATATTCAGCCAAAGACTGAGGGGATTCCTCATGTAGATTTCTGGAGCTCCTTCTCTATACAACTGCTTCCTCTGGGGTTCTCTGCTCTGCATATTCCGGCTGCCTCGCGATGCCGAATGCCGATCTCTCTTTCCTCTGTCCAGTGGGAACACTGCTGTGTTTGAGCTCCTCTTCCCTGCACCAAAGTTTGTGAAGATCCCCAGTCAGTGACTCCGGATACCCATGGGGCTCCCTTATGGGAAACCACTCAAAGATCACAGCTCTGTATGGTCAGTTGTCCAATGAAACAGTCACTTTATAAGAACGCCTCGTTCGACCCTGTTGGTGGCAGAGGGTGAGTCTCAGTCGTTACACCCCGAGGGCTGGATCTGGGAGTCTGGCGTTCTGTTTCGCTGTGGGACCAGCCCTAGTGGAGTGTTTGGAGCGGAAGGGCCGTGTTGAAGCCTGAGCTCCCGTGCCATCTTGCCGGGAAGCGCACAGTGGTTTCGAGAGAAGTTTCCAGAGGTGTTCTTGGAGACGCTAGTTCAATGACATCTGATGACACAAAAGAGCCTCTGCTGGCTTTCCCTGGTGCCAGTCCTTTGCTGTCGTTTTCAAGGGCCTCCAGCACTAGGGTCACTCTGGGTGACCCAAAGGGGAGGAAGCCGTCAGCGTCACCAAGCCCACCTTCCACCCACTCTGCCTCTGGTGAAGGGAGCCAAGGAGACAGGATCCAAGTCAGAAACACAAACATCTCCTGTGGAAAAAGCTACCAGTTTTCTCCCAGAACTGCCATCTTGGCAGCATACCGTCGTGAGCCTGGGGCCCGCGGGACCCCAGGTCGGCTGGAAGATGACGGAGGACAGGGCAGCCCCCCGGCGGCGGTGACTCCAGGGGGCCGTGGGATCTTGCAGTGTTCACTCCAGCCCAGAAACAGAGCAGGGACTGTGTCCATGGGTGATGTTTCGGGGATCCTGGTGGGACTTTTGGATTTCTGGGCATTCCACAGAAACCAGCGTGGTCAAGATAAGTGAATGTTCAAACTAGCTATGTGTAATTTCTACCACTTTATAGAGTGCCTGCTGTTCGTGAACCACATGCTAATTGCTTTATTTATTTATTTATTTATTTATTTATTTATTTATTTATTTAAAGATTTTTTTTAATTATTATTCATGAGAGACAGAGTGAGAGAGAAAGGCAGAGGGAGAAGCAGGCTCCCAAGGAGTAGGGAGCCCGATGCGGGACTCGATCCCAGAACCCTGGGATCATGACCTGAGCCGAAGGCAGATGCTCAACCATCTGAGCCACCCAGGCGCCCCGCTAATTGCTTTACATGCATGAGACAGGCACTCTTTCTCCTTTCTCCAGGTAGGGAAAATGAAAGTCAGAGAGGTAAATGCACCAGCCCAAGATCACACAGCTTGTATGTGGCGGTAGCGAGGGGATGAACCACAACGTGAGGCTGCCTTCTGTGTTCAGGGTTTAAGCTTGAAAGGGTTTCTAAGTCTAAACATGTTGTTGGGGGAAGAAAAAAAATGGGGAATTAACATCCAATCAAGTCCTTTAGTAAAACAAATGACAGTATAGTTCGTTGAACTTTCCAAGGACCTTTCTTTTCCTTCACGTTTTATCGTCTCTGAGATTTGGATTCATCTCCCGCCGATGGTGGGTCATAGATGAATTGCTGGAATCCTTCTCTTTCCCAGCAACACCTGAAATGACGGTGTGCCTCGCAGTCTGCAGCTTGGTCGGCAAGCTTTCTCCGTAAAGGGCCAGGTGGTAAATATTTTGGACTCTGAGAGCCCAGTGGTGTCCATCACGACTCAACTCTGCCTGCCACTGTAGTGTGCAAGCAGTGAGAGACACGAGCGAGCGAGCAGGGGTGCCCGTGTCCCGGTTCGGCGTGATGTGCAGAAACCCGGGAAGGGCAGATGTGGCCTGTGGGCCATGTTGCGGGCTACTTCTCCAAGGCACCTTGGGTTTGCTGAAGCCTGGGGTTAACAGTAGCCACGGTGGCAGCAGGGACACATGGAGGCCGTTGAGCCCGCAGCGCTGAGCTCTGCTCTGGGGTTTCATACGGGCTGTGCCGCAATCTGACATGGGGATGCTCTTACCCCACACCTGTTTTCAAATGCGAGGACAGCTTCAGAGAGGTTAAGGTGCCTGCCTTGGGTCATCTGCAGTGAGGGCTATCAGCAGCTGGCCTGAGCGGTGAGCACGGAGTTGGGGGCACGCTGAGCCCTCTCTGGGGGACCCCCGAGGCACACAGTCCCCTAGCTCCACGTATTCGTGTCTGGCACCTTCTGTTGTCAAATTCAATTAAGTATCAGGTGGCAACAAGAGAGAACATTTGCCTTTGAAAGAACCAACAGCTCTCCTTGCTGGATTCAGAACCGTGGATGGAGGAAGAACAGAAAAACATCACAGTTGACTGCACGTGTGGGGGTGAAGATGCGCAGGGCAGCCGTGGCCCTGGCACCAGGGACGGTGACATCAGTGACATCAGAGTGAGGGTCTGGCCGTTTACCCATGAACTTGGGCTGACGTCTTGTTCCTGCGAGCCAGGCCTGCCACTGTGCAGAAGACACCAAGGGCCAGTGCTTATTGTCCCAGCTGAGGAGCTCTCTTTAGTCTATGAGTTCTAGCCTGTGATTCTACAAGTTCATTTCTAGATCATGGAACCATGAATCCAATTTCCAGTTCAGGTCCCACTTCTATGAGACGCGGGCACAAAATAGGAGGGAAATGCCCTGACCGAGGAGACGATCTGGACCTCACAGACACTGTTAGGTTGTCCCTTGGACAACCCCTGCTGTCCAAAGCCAAGTTCAAATACACAGACTTTGGTCAGTGAGGTCATTGCTTTGAATGCTGCTCTCTGCCCAGCGGTGTGCTGTCGGGCAAATTCCTTGGTTTCCCAGAACGTGAAATGTGGACGACCCTAGCAGTTTCGCCTTGGCTGGTTGATCTGTGCTGGTTCCCAGGGAGCGTGCCTGGTGCACAATGAGGCTATTCTTATTATTTG